AATTAGTGTTTTTGTTTTCTTCAAATAAATACCGAGAAGTGGGATTACTGGATCATATGGTAGTTCTATTTTTAATTTTTTGAGAAACCTGCATGCTGTTTTCCACAGTGGCTGTACCAATTTACATTTCCATCAACAGTGTACAGGCTTCCCTTCTCTCCACATCCTCGCAAATGCTTGTTGACTCCTGTCTTTTTGATAATATCCATTCCAATAGGTATGAGGTCATAGGTCACTGTGGTTTTGATTTGCATTTCCCTGATGATTAGTGATATTGGGCATCTTTTCTTGTATCTGCTTTGCTATTTATATGTCTTCTTTGTCAAAATGTCTATTAGGTCCTCTGCCCATTTTTTAATCAGATTATTATTATTTTTCTTTTTTTACCATTGAGCTGAATTAATTCCTTATATATTTTGGATACAAACCCCTTACCTGATATATAGTTTACAACTATTTTCTTCTATTCTATAGGTTGCTTCTTCATTTTGTGGATTCTTTTGCTGTGCTGAATCTTTTTGTTTGATGTAGTCCCACGTGTTTATTTTGCCTTTTGTTGCTTGTGTTTTTGGTGTCATGTCCAAGAAATTGATGCCAAGATCAATGTCAAAGAGCTTTTCCCCTGTTTTCTTCTATAGACAGTCTATTTGTTAATTACTGCCTTGACTTACTCTCTTGTGGTATGTTGGATACTTTCCTTTCTTTGAGATGTTTCCTTTTATCCAACCAAGGGCTAGTAAGGAAGAATGGGGAAATGGACGTTGGTATATAGCTAATTATATACACTATGAACTGTAAGTTTCAGACGAGTCCCTTAAAAAAAGGTTAAATCACTAGCATCTGATACAATGTCTGTCACAAAGTAGGTTCTCAATAATTACTTTCTGAATTAATCACCAACTCTGCTTGGCAAAGTACTAACTCTGAATGACTTCACAGAGCAAGTGATATTTTATCGGGTTCTTGATGGAAAATAGTATGGAGAACAGAGAGAGAGACTATTTTAGACAAAGGACAGACACTGCAAAAAGACAAAAAGACATAAACTGGCATGGAAGATTTGATCAGTTAATATTACTTTCTGACAGAAAACTCCATTAATAACAGCTTAACACATAAGGATATTATTATTATTTTCTTAAAAAAATTTCTGAAAGGAATATTTCCATGATTGATTTGGTGGCTTAACAATGCCATCAAGACCCAGGCTCCTACAATCTTTCTGCTGAGTTATCTTTGGTGTTGTCTATATGTCTCCTCATGTTTGCAAGATGACTGCCGCACTTTCAGTCATCATGCCGTTACATAACAATACACAAAGCAGGAAGAAAGTAGGGCTTTTATCATAAAGAAAAATGCTAGACACCTCCTAGAAGTATTTTTCTTATTTATAATTGGCCTAATGTAGGTCAGGTGGCCACTCCTAGGTGCCAGGAAGATGTGGAAAGTAGGTATTTGGCGTTTCTAGCTTTTATGGTAATAACAGGCAAGGAAGACAGAGAAAAGGAAAAATGTTGAGTAGGCAACCAATAGGGCCTATTACAGTATCTTTCAGTGTATTGGATCCACATATTCATCTACTGAAATACAGAAGATTCATGTGTAGTATTTATATTCATAAAGAAGAATTTAAAAAGAAGTGCATGGGTGTTGCCCCTCTATTCCTCTGATTCTTTTGCCTTTTTGAAATTTCTCCATTTGAACAAAGTAAATATCTAATGAACTCCATCACTAACCTTCAGTTATGGTCTCAAAATTTAGCCACCATTTAGCTGTTATGGGTCTTATATATAAAGACAACATTTAGTGAAGTTCTCTCATAATATGTATAAAATTGTCTTTTTTGAATGATAAGTTCTTCTGATTCTATGATTCACAATTTTGAGTGTGTGCATGTGTTTATAGCACACATTTGAAAACAAGAATTTCTGAGCACACATTTTAATAAAGATTCTAACTAAAACTATACAAGACCACAATAATTGTGACACAATAACTACTTTAGTGCTAAATGTCACTTGAGATTTATAAAAACATTTAAGTTGTTCCCTGTCAGTCCTTTTTCTCTACCTGAGTACAACTATTTCCTGATTACATACTCTCTTAACGTATTTATGCATTCAACAAATATTTCTTGAGCACCTACTCTGAAGCAGCACCCTGCTGAGCGTGAGAGATTTCATTATGAACAAGAAGAAAAAGAAACTAACAAAAAAAAGCCAACCAGAAATAGCCCTACCTTCATGTAGGGCTTGCCTTGCATATTTCAGGAAACAAGATTGTTGGCTCAAGTTTGACATACAACTTTGGCCCTTCTCATTTGTTGCAAGTTTTATCCCACTCACTATCAGATGACTCATTCACCTCCCTCCTTTTGACAAGCTTTGAAGTCTGCATCTTCGCTTGTAACAATCATTTATGTTATCTGTTGATCAATGTTTGAGAGTGTACTAATGAATAATTAGGATATAAGAGATAAGAACCACTATTCTAACTAGGTGAAGATACATCACATTCCGCTTAACGTAATGGAGATTCCTGAGTAATGGTGGGAATAGGGGTGGAAGGGCTATTTCAGATTTTACTTTTTACCTTAAACTCTGATGTCCATAAACTTGTAGTATTAACAAATATTCTCATTACATATAATTGCCAATTAGAATGTCTTATCAGTATGAAATAGTAGTGTTACCTTTCTGGATCAATATATTGTATTGAAAAGCATTCAGATTACTTTACACAGAATATATAAACACAGAATGCAACTTATTTCAGTTTTTGAAAAGTGGAGTATAGCTCTGGATCATTCTAGTACTACCATCCTAGATCCTTAACAGTCTGCATCACCCCAGGTAAATCGGTCATCTGTTCCATCCCTATTACAGATTAAGACAGTAAGGGAAATCTAGTTGGCTTGTCCAGGGTCATGCAATTAGTGACAAGGCCAATAGTTGAACATTGGTTTCCTGAATACCAATTTATTATGATTTTACTCCCAAGCACACCCTTTCAAAACACTTCCAATCTCACCACCAGGACCAGCAGGGGACCAGCGCAAAATGAAAATGCAACGTAGTTATAAATTCTGGCTCAAAATTAATGGCTAACTTAGTCCTATAACTGGCAGGTGGCAGAACACTGATAATTTCAGTCTCAGTTTTTCAGTGGCTACAGACATTAATGATGCTTTCTAGGTGAAACAAAACACCTGAGATATCCAACATTTCCTTACATAATAATAGTTTAAATTATAGCATTTATTTGTTCATTCAATAAATATTTCTGAGTACCATCTACTTGCCAAGCACTGTTTTAGGTACTGGGGATGCATCAGTAAATAAATCAGACAAAAATCCCTGCCTCTCATTATGTTATAGTAATGGGAGATAAACAATAAATAAACAAATCACATATAAGGTAATAAGTGCTATGGGGAAAAAATTAAAGGAGACAGGGTGATAAGGAGGGCCAGGGTAGGGGATAAGTTGGGATGGGGGCTTTAGGTTCAATTCAAGGTGTGATCTTTGCCAGTCTGCCTGTGAATGTTGTTAAAGACTAAAATTGGTGACTGAAAAGACAAAACGTGTTTTTTTCTTCTTCAAAGCTCTAGGCCATCCTTGGAGAAGCCCAGGGCTGAGGCCAAAGCTCATTGTATATGTGTATATCTTTCCGCTCTTCCCTGTTTAAATCCAGGTAAAATCTCCTTAAAATAAATTTCAAAAAGCTTTGAGGTGGAAAAATAAGGGAACAGATATCACAAAAGAGAAAAGGAGGCGGGGACAGGCTAGCCTCAGTCATGCCTCGGTATCGCCTTGGTGATGGGGTTGTACAGAAGAGGTGCTCTACTTAAGCCCTAGATCTTTTCTAGCACCTACTACAAGGCCCTTATCTGGTTTCTCTTATCACTCATTTTCTTCTCTATGATTCAAATCTCAAATCAATAACTATGTACAAATGAAAAATCAAAAGTTTGAGCATACTCTTCACAAGAGTTAGAATAAGTCATTCACAGCTTTATATGTTCATAGATATTACTTACTTAGTTAATATTCCTTAACTAACTCTTGGAAATTTTTACAGTAATTTTTGTCCATTAAAGCTATATTTATATCAATTTGACTACTTAATAGATTTAAAGTAAGTGAAAAAAGTTGAAGCAGTCATTTGTCAAGATTATTTTTTTAATTGGCTTTACTGCAACTTTTTTTTAAAGTAATGCTTATTTTCTTAACAGCACCAATACATCAAGAATATGAATGTTCCAAATATTATTTCTATTTGCACTTGCAATGCTTTTTATATATTTTTAATATTAGGTTTTTTAAAATTTTTATTGAGATCACCATAAACATATCATAAACATATTTTTTAGAGAAAAAAGACTGAATGTAAAGAAACTGTATGGGGTTACAGTTGCTCTTTTTTTATTTTTTTGGGGAAGATTAGCCCTGAGCTAACTACTGCCAATCCTCCTCTTTTTGCTGAGGAAGCCTGGCCCTGAGCTAACATCGTGCCCATCTTCCTCCACTTTATATGTGGGACGCCTACCACAGCATGGCGTGCCAAGCGGTGCCATGTCCACACCTGGGATCCGAACCGGGAACCCCGGGCTGCTGAGAAGCGGAACGTGCGAACTTAACCGCTGCGTCACCAGGCCGGCCCCTACAGTTGCTCTTTATAGAGGAATATTTATATAATTCTATTTTCAATTCAGCCCATATAGCTCTTTCACACACATGTATATATGTCTGTGTGTGCACATGTATGCTCAAAACTAGTGTTAAAATAGGCTGATACCAATTCGATGTTTATTAAACAACCAGATAGATTCAATCAACGAAAAACTGATTCAGTTCAAGCTGTAAAACATTTTGCGTGAACCCAGCTACAATTTTATAATAGATTTCAGAAGCACCTGTGTCCTGTAAAATATAATTACTGTCTTTCCCCTTTAACTTCCTGTTGTTCACAGTCTCTTTATGATGTCATCACCCAACATTACCAGTTTGAACTTACACTGCTAAAGTCCTGGCAACATACAGGCAGGGGAAATGTCTCTTCTAAGATTGTAAGTCCTCTTTTTAACACATTTTAGTGTTTTTAATGACCAACACGGTCAATTTAGCTACATACTTATGTTTTTAGATGTAAGTAATGTGCCTCTCATGGTAATTTTGTTTAAAGATTAAAATTTGTATTTTAAACAGAGATGTGAAATTACCATCTACATCTTGAGTGTTTTGCTTTGAGATTTAGCTAGTTCAGGCTCTTTCACAGAAGAGCTGAATGGCCTTGACCATTTTATTTCTCTGAGTATGTGTGTATGTGTACTCATAACAACATCTTATTTTAGGGAGAAGGGAAATAATTAGTGTGTGTGAAGGCACTTTAAAACGTAAAGCAGGATACAACCTAGTAAGACTTTATCATACTACTTTGGTGTACTTAATTAATCATACTAATTTGGTATACTTTAATTTTATGTATAAGGAAAATTAGACAGCTCTATTGTCCTGATACAAAAGAAGATGGTGTTATTTCCAATCAATAAAAGTATAGTGAGTTGATTTTTTAAAGGAGTTTTTAAGTGGATCGTGAAATATTATTCATGTGAAATTAAACAACAGTATTTGTGCAGGCTTTAGTGGCTGCATGTTTCAATGTTGGTCTTTGATTTAAATAGCCAATCTCCTCTAAAAGAATATTGCTGAAAGTAATACAAAACATTAGAATAATATGAGTCATATTGACTTAGAGCTACCAGCTAATATCTATGTGTATTAAGTTAAACAATATGAGACTGTCAATATTCAGCGATTTTTGACCTACAAAAATGGAAATCTCTTAGGGTACAATCTAATATTAAAAGCTTGTAAAAATCAATAAGAAAGATACAATTAAGGTGGCGTAAAAGTAGTTGGAGAATATGAACAGACAATTTACAGAAAAAGAAATGTGAATGACCAGTAAACATATGAAAAGGTGCACAACCTAAATAATGAAAAGAAAATTTAGAAAATCTTCGACTCAGGGGCCAGCCTGGTGGCACAGCAGTTAAGTGCGCACGTTCCACTTCTCGGCGGCCCAGGGTTCGCTGGTTCGGATCCTGGGTGCCAACATGGCACCGCTTGGCACACCATGTTGTGGTTGGTGTCCCACATATAAAGTAGAGGAAGATGGGCATGGATGTTTGCTCAGGGCCAGGCTTCCTCAGCAAAAAGAGGAGGACTGGCAGTAGTTAGCTCAAGGCTAATCTTCCTCAAAAAAAAAAAAAAAAAACAAAAAACAGAAAAAGAAAATCTTCGACTCAGAAATTCAAATTCCAAAAAAATTAACAAGGATTTCCCCTTTTAAATGATACAATTCTGTAGTGTTTGTATTTTATCAATGAGTATGTATTACTTTTAGAATCAGAAAATTTAATGCAGTTTGAAAGAAAAAGAATAATTTGATCTAGAAATAAAAATTGAGCCCCCTAGTGCTTTTATACAGATTTTTCTAGTTTGGTGCTGCCTACATTTGATCTTCCCTCTTACATCATAAAGGCCTCAGGATTATGTCACCATTGGGCATCATCTCTTTGAAACACACTGTCTTCAGCAAACCCCTCTATATCCTCCACTGCCTCCTATCTGAATGATACCTCTGCTTTCTTGCTCTATCTGAAACCTGGCTCTCTCTCAAATACACTGATTTTCCTGAGGCCCTCTCTAGTGGGGGATATTTTCCTTCACACATCACCTCCTACCACTGGATTCAAAGGTGCAGAGGTGTCTGGTTGGCTCCTCAATGGTGTTTGCAAGTCCCTACTCCCTAAAAATAGCCAGATTTGAATCTCAAAGATTATATCTTTGAGATATAATCACATCAGATTATATCACTTGCTACGACTTCCAGGTCACTCCCCTTTATTTTGCCATGATTTTCTCTCTGGCCCACTGTCATTCCCTCTAATAGTCTTCTTGTCTTAATTCCTGGTGATTTTTCTACGTAGATAATCATTTTCGTACCTTAACATCTCAATCCTTGGACTTTATCTTCTCCAATTATCTTGTCTTTCATGTTATCTCAGTGGCTAACTCCTATACATATCCTGTCAAAATCTCAAGTTCAAACATTTCACTCTCCAACCACTGCCTCAGGTAATACTAATACCCCTACTTCAACAATTCTTCCACCCCTCTAAGACATACCATTGAGTTTACCACCTTTGAACTATCACTCATCAATCCCCCCACCCATGGCTTTACTTATGTTTTTACCCTTTACAGATCCTCGCCTATCCTAGATTGTTATGGGCTCATGATGAATCAGCACAAATACTTCCCAGCATACACCCTCAATTCCCTTTCCCCACTTTCTTTTTGACGTCTCAACTGACAAAACCCTAATTTTAGATAAATCCAACTCTCGCATTACTCCACAGGGTACCTTTGCAAGCTGAATGTGGTTGAGGAAAAACATGTAACCAGGATAATTGGCTTCAATTTAAATTTATGATGACAATACCATATGATCTCACTCATAAGTAAATGATAAAAACAATGAGAAATGATCACATAGAGACAGAGATTGGATTGGTGGTTACCAGAGGGGAAGTGGGAAGGGAGGAGGGCGAAAGGGGTGATTAGGCACATGCGTGTGGTGATGGATTATTAGTCTTTGAGTGGTGCACATGATGTTTTCTACACAGGAATCAAAATATAATGATGTACACCTGAAATTTACATAATATTATAAACCAATATTACAGCACTAAAAATTTAAATAAAATTACTTGATTAAATTTATGATGACAAAGTGCAAGTGGGTCATTAATGCTAACTGGAAAGGTATTAAACTTCTCATTTGTTCAAAGCTCTCCTACTCTTGAAGATGAATATTTCTCACCTTTTCCTCTCTTCTCAAATCTGCACCTTCTCTCTTCTCCACTCTCAGCTAATAGAGATAAATAGGGCAAATTTTCACCATTATCAAAACTGAATATACTAGTCTACGTGCATCTTTACAACTCTATTCTCTGCTTTCCCTCCTATTAGAGTGGATGCCCTCTTCTTGCTCATACCAAAGCATAATTTAGGGTATATTAGTTTCCTAGGGCTGCCAAAACAAATTACCATAAACCAGATGGCTTAAAACATCATAAGTTTATTGTCTCACACTTCTGGAAGCTGGAACACCAAAATCAAAGTAGCAGCAGATGTGGCTCCTTCTAGAGGCTCTGAGAGAGAATCTGTTCCATGCTTCTCTTCCAGCTTCTGCCAGTTGCTGGCAATCATTGTCATTCCTTGGCTTGTAGATGCATCACTCCAATCTCTGCCTCTGTCATTACATGGCACATTCTCCCTCTCTGTGTATATCTGTGTGCAAATATCCCTCTTCTCATAAGGACATCAGCCATTGTATTAGGGCTCACACTATTCCAGCATGACCTCATCTTAACTTGATTACATCTGCAAAGACCCTATTTCCAAATAAGGGCAAGTTCACAGTTACCAGATGGTAGAACTTGAATATAACTTTGTGGGGGTCACAATTCAACTCATAACACTGGGCATTAAATTTTTTTCACTACTTAAGGCTACGGCTCCTATAATTAACTCTTTTTCTGTATCTTCAGTTTTCTCTCCTCCCCCCCACCCCGCAGCTTTCTTGAGCCATAATTGACACATAACATTGTGTAACTTTAAGGGGTACAATGTGATGATTTGATACACGTATATATTGTAAAATGATTACCACAGTTAGATTAGTTAACGCCTCCATCACATCACATAATTACCATTTCTTTTTTGTCGTGAGAACATTTGAGGTACACTCTCTTACCAAATTTCAAGTATATAATACAGTATTGTTAATTACAGTTAACAATAGTTAACACACTGTATGTTAGATCCCCAGAGCTTATTCATCCTATAACTGCAAGTTTATACCCTTTGAATGACATCTCTACATTTCCCCCAACCCCCAGCCCCAGAATGGTAAACACCATTCTACTATCTGTTACTATGCGTTCAGCTTCTTTATTTTTTTTCTTTATTTTTTTTTCTGCTTTATCTCCCCAAACACCCCCTGTACACACTTGTATATCGTAGTCGCAGGTCGTTCTAGTTGTGGGATGTGGGACACCGCCTCAACGTGGCCTGATGAGCGGTGCCATATCCGCGCCCAAGATCCAAACCCTGGGCCGCGGCAGCAGAGCATGCGAACTTAAACACTCGGCCACGGAGCCGGCCCTGAGCTTCTTTAGAATCCATATATAAGTGAGATCATACAGTATTTGTCTTTCTTTGACTTATTTTACTTATCATAATGCCCGCAAGGTTCGCCTATGTTGTCATAAATGACAGAATTTTCTTCTTGCTCATGGCTGAATTATATATATAAATATCTCACATCTCTTCAATAAAGTAATTTCATTTGCTTTAGTTATAAACCCAGAAGTGGGGTTGCTGTATCATATGGTAGTTCTATTTTTAATTTTTGTAGAACCTCCACTTTGTCATCCATAGTGGCTGTACTAATTTATGTTTGCACCAAGAAAGCATAAGAGTTCTCTTTTCTCCGAAGCGTTACCAATGTTTATCTCTGCTTTTTGGTAAGAGCCATTCTATCAGATGTGAGGTGATATCTCATTCTTGCTTTTGACGTGGATTTCCCTGATGATTAGGGATGTTGAGCATCTTTTGATGTGTCTTTTGGCTATCTGTATGTCTTTTTTGACAAATGTGTATTTAGTTCCTCTGCACATTTCTAAATCAAATTTTGTGGTATTTTGCTCAGTTGTATGAGTTCCTCATATATTTAGGATATTAACCCCTTATTAGATATTTGGTTTGCAAATATTTTCTCGCATCCCACATGTTGCCTTTTCATTTTATTGATTGTTCCTTTACTGTGCAGAAGCTATTAAGTTTGATGTAGTCCCACTTGTTTGTTTTTGCTTTTGTTGCTTATGTTTTTGGTGACATATCCAAAACATTACTCAAGAGAAGATCAAAGAGATCTTTCCCTATGTTTTCTTCTAAAAGCTGACCAGTTTCAGTTCTTGTGCTTAAGTCTTTAATC